AAATGGGGAGACCAAGCGCCCAGGCAACCTCTCTGAAAGGCCCAGAAACCTCAACGCTCCCTGGGTCTGTCACCGATTCCCCAGAGGGCCGTGGGACTATTACTTCAGTTTTTAATTCTGAACAGTCCTGTGTGCAGAATTGGGGGACTGGAAGGCCCCCTCCCGAGGCTGCGGTGGACGGATTCACCACAGGGCAGCAGACAGGGCTCTCAAAGAGAAGGGCGGCGGCCAGACTCTGGACTCCTGAGATCTCCGGCACCCAGAAATAGTGGTGCCTCGTCTGCCTTTCAGCAGCGTTCACCGGCATCATTCTGCTCCTCTTCCCTGAGGCCCCCCCACCTCGAGCTCGCGGCTGCGAGCTCCTGTGTGCGCCCCGCGTCCACACCATCGGCCGGAGCGCAGCGGGTGGTGCAACTGGCCCCAGCTGCAGCGGGTGCCCGGAGACGTTCCTTCTCAGTGGGGCAGTCGCTGTGAGCGTGGGTAGGCGGCCGTCCTCGCCTCTCCGGTGGAGAAAATGCGACTGCTTTCTCGTGGCCTGGGTGGGCTGCGCTCACTGAGTTCACGTGCAGAAACGTGGGGTTTCCTGAGACTCCCCCAGGCCCGTCTCCTGCCCACATCAGTGCCGCCACCAGATGGCCCCTTGGGCCCAGACTCGCCTTGGCTCATCCCTCTGGCCTGGGGCAGGGCAGTAGGGTCCCGCAGGGGTGAGGAACAGCTGTCTTGCTCACGGCTAACCCATCTGATGTCTGGGCCAGTGGCCAGCAAATAAGGGCCCTGTGGGAAAACTGGGCGAACTGTTGAGTCAAAGGGCGTGCGTCACAGTGCTCATCACTCCCTGGACAGCCGCTCCCAGCACAAGCTGAGGCCGGTGGTCACCCCACCTGCTTCCCGGAGCCCCTAAGAATCGGCCCCTTCTTTGCCCCCCTCCGTGATCCCAGCTCTCAATCCCTGTCTCTTGAGAGAGAGTGAATGGACTCCTCCCCCTTTGAGGGAGCACCTGCCACTTTTCTCCCATTTCCACCAGCTCCTTGCAGAGGCCAGGCCGGCCTCCGGCCCACCCCGACTGCCTGGGGTCATGGTTTCCTGAGGGGTAGGACTGTATCACCAAAAGGAGGCTGGTTGTTGCCTGTACAACCCTGTTTTACACAGTAAGCCAAGACTTAGAGGGAAGCAATGACCTAGATCTGTGCTTGGGCTGAAACGTCATCATTAATTTATGAAGTGATTGAATGGTAATCACTCTATCAAAGAACTCAGGAACTTGCAGAAGCAAAGAAGGGGTCTGGGGTGTAAGTGTCAGCTGGACACGTCTCCCAGGACTGGTGCACTCCCTCACCCAGGAGTCCGCGCCGCCCTGTGACCCGGCCCGTTCAGCCGCAACCTCAGAGCGGAAAGCAAGCTTTGGAAGGTGGGGCCCCTGAGGCTGCCTGGCTGTCCCCCAGGGGTACAGACTGCTCCTCCCAAAGCTTCAGGGCCATCAGCGGTCTCGTGTGTCCACCAAGGGAGCACCCAGTTACAGCCCCTCCTGGCCTGCTTTCTGTTCTACTCAATTTGTGCCAGAAGCCATGGGTTGTTTTTGTGTTTTCTTTTTTTTTTAATTAGTTTTTATTTATTTATGCGTACAAGATCTGGGGTACAGGCCAGAAATGCAGGGGGTGAGAGGATTGCACCAGAGACAGAGTAGGAAGCAGAACAGGCAGATGGACTGAAACCCACTGCTGAGGGGAGCAGCAGGGAGACAGGAGAGGCCTGCTGCGCCCTGTGGGTCACTCCCTGGCCGGGGATGTGCCAATAGCTACATAGCACTGAGACTTAACCCCTGTGCCAGCAGGGAGGCCCAAAAGCCTTGGGTTTTGTCCCCCAAGTTGGCCACCCTGCCAAGTGGACCCCCTTCATCAGGAAGGGACCCAAAGATTAAAATGAAGTTTACCAGCAGGGGCCTCCCTGGAGCCGACGTGACAAGAAGCTCACTGAACCCAGCTTCAACACCCACGGTCCTCTCCTGACGCCAACTCTTTCCACCGCCAGCCTTTCCTCCCGAGCAGCCCTGCCGGCTGGACGGCACCTTCACGTCGGGCTGGCGGCCTCCTCTTGTGCCCCCTAACCTCAGCCCTGTCAAAGCAATGTCCCCCATCTCCTCTCTGGCCATTCCTCCCTCCCTGTCCTTTGTCCCTCCCACATCCCACACGTGAACCTAATTTAATCACTGCTACCGGTCAGTCTGACCTTCTGTATTTAACACTACCTGCATCTACATGGCCCGAGCTTCCTTTACTGCACTCTCAGCACATCTTCACCCTCCTACAGGGCTCTAAAAGATCAGCCTAGGCTCACATGTCTCACTACACACGGAAATTCTGAAATTACTTCTAAGGTTCACTGGAGCTGGTGGTCCTGGAGGAAACGCCTGGCAGTGTCTGGAGGGGGCCAGGACCGCTTGCCTCGGGCAGCTGTCAAGATCATCCTCCTTGGCTTCGTCTCCATGTTACATAAGTGGAATTTTGGTTCACACGGAGTATATAAAGGCTTCCGTGACTTATATCCTTCTTCCAGAAATCTGTTCACATGCAGAAACGCCCGTTCTCTGAAGGTGGCCCTGGTCAAAAACTCTAATTTGGGAACAATGCCTGGGAAACCTGCAAATGTCTCCATGGGCCCTTGGGGTGGAGTCGTCAGCTTGGGCTCCAGAAAAAGAAACTCCCTTGTGTTTTTGTCATTGTAGGCCAACTCTTCCCACACTGTTATTCAAGAGGCAGCTAACTTCTACTACTTTTTACCCCATGCATAATGTTTTAAGAAAAAACTAGAGAAGTTTAATAATAGCAAGTACGCCCCCTGGATACATGGGAAAGACCCAGTAAGGCTGAGTAACGCACTCCAATCTCCTACTTTCTTGGGTGATTTCTGACAAGAAGGCAGAGGGTGTCACCTTAAATAAGGTCAATACTGTGGATCCCAATCCCGTGTCTTGGTCCTTACAAAATGAGGAAATTAAAACAGAAAAGAGAGGCACACCAGGAAGAACCATGAGCAGACACACATGGAGAAGATGCCATGGGACTGGAGCGATGATCGTCCCAGGGACGTCAGTGATCGCTGTGATCGCTAGAGCTAGAAAGAGCCCAGAAGGATTCCCCTCCCTGTTTGGTTACTGGGCACCCCCAGGGGGAAATGTAGTAATCCCAGTTGTAAGTCCTCACCTGTGTGTTTAAGACGTTGAGACCCAAAAACAGATGTGCAGAGAAAGATTTTTAAAGAAGTTTATATCCAAGGTGAGAATGCAGAGAGAGAGAATGAATGGGGAGAATTAATTTGTTGACATCATACCAGCAAAACCCTCTGAGCTGAGACACCAGGGTGCAAATGGAAGCCAGAAAAGCAAGGAACAGAAGCACACTGGATTCAATCACAAGGCAAGCATGGCTACTTAATTCCAACCCTGGCTCCCAGAGGCCCCTGTTCCGGAAGCCAGGTTCAAGGCATGCTGGGAATTGTAGTCCTCGCTCCTGAGCTTGCTTCAACATGACACAGGGGTGGAGTTCATTTAATTACTGGCTCAGAGTTCGCTCCTTACAGTTGCTCTAACGGCTTCAAAGAGGGTATGACCCTGCTCATAATTTGATTTCAGACATCTAGCCTCTGGAAACAAGCACATATGTGATGCATTCCACATACTGCTAATTAAAGAGAGATGACATAGACAATGTGATCCTTATTTTTCCAATGAGCCCCCCCACTCCATTAGCCCAGATGAATAGATTAACTATTAGAAGCACAGATGAAATGTCTAATATTTAATATTTTTATTTGGTTGCACATAACTGCAAGATATAAATTAAAGTCTTAATTTTAAAATATTGCTATTTTGACCTTACATTTTATGAAAAAAAATCATACTCAAACATTTCACATAGATTTGGACATTGGTTATCATCCTATCGAAAGAGTCTGTTGTTGGATTCATCTAACCCAGTTTTCCAGAGCAATTCTCTCTTGTGCCTAAACACCCAGAAATCCCTCTCACACACTGTCCTTGGAAACGTTACCTCATTTTGTATTAGCCCTCTAAACTTATACTCACTGCAAATACCATTATTACCTTTCAGTGAGCTTTCAGAGTTCACTGACAAAGATACAGCACATGTGTGGTTCACACGCAGCAATAATTACTGAGTGCTGCTCTCCCTGACTCCTTTACCAAGTGTACCAGGAAGCTCTCCCTCCTGGCCTCCCAAATCAGGGTGAATTGAAGTTATTTAAGGGAAATGGGTCTGTCCCAAACTGAACACTTTCTTTTCAAAATAACATGAGAGATTTTATAGGAACCCCACGTCAGGAGGCCCCTGCTTTCAGAGGCGTAACTGTTAAGTGTTGAATGTTTTGACCTCAAAATAGTAGAAAGATCAGATGGGGGAGGGGGGTGAAATTACTTAGTAGTATTTCAATGATAAAATGATAATATTCCGTGCTAAAACCAAAAGGAAATTCTTACTTCTTTAAACTGTATTACTGTGTTTAAACTTCGGTATCTCAGGCAGAAATCCCTGAGAAAACTCAGGAGTCGCTGATGGTAAGTGCTCACATCCTGGCTTTATGAAAGAATTCTCTCCTGTTGATTCTAACTTCCAGAATTCAATAGAATCCAGTGGGTGCGTCAGCCCCACCCCCACTCCCTCACCAACCCCCCCCCCCCTGGTCCCCTCAGCAGTGTATTTCAGTCAATCTGCCTGTTTTGCTCCCCACTCTACTCTGGTGAGTCCTCTCACCAACCCCCCCCCCCCCTGGGGTGGATCTGGAATGTTCCCTCACCAAGCTCACACCTGCCAGGCCCCACATCCCCTAGGGAGGCACAGTTTTGCCTGCAGCTTCAACAGTTGGCCTGAGAAGGTGGAGGCGAGGCCCAGAGAGCAGGGTTCCACCCCCAGCCCTGGCCTTGCCAGCTCACTCTCCTTTGTGGAAACTGCTTTTCCTCAAGCCCTGGCATTCAAGATAAACATCTAAATTGTATTTTTTTTATTCATTTCTCTGTTTATTCATTTCCTAGATTTCAACATATCTTTTTCTAGTGAGCATTGTGGGTTAAATGGGCTTTTGTGGCCAGTCTGGGAACATTGCTTCCAGTGAAAAATGCATTCTTGTTGGAAGCAAACAACATACACAAAGAACACAACCTCTTTGTAGGGCGTCTGTCCAGGGTGTGCATCAGCATTAAGGCCCATGGTCAGTCTGCAGATCTGAGCAGCCTGCTAAAAAAAAAAAATCTTCATGAGGCACAGAAAGCACGAGCTGTCACCTGTAGGGAACCCTGAGACACAGGACCTCTTGATTCTTCTCTTTCTAACTGGGAGAAGGGGATGGAGAAGATGGAGACAATGAGATAAAATTGCCCTCTTCCCCCTTAACAAAACACCAGCCCTCTGAGAAAGTGGTGGGAGGTGATAAAAATGTTCAGTCACTTCACAAAAATGATTTGCTTAATTAATGAAATCATCCGAACACCAGATGACGCGCCACCCTGCTTCTGTCAGGACAGCCCTGGGCCTGTGGTAACGCTAGCCAGCAGCTTCACAGGAAAGATGGGACTTCTCTTCCAGCCCCTGTCTGACTCAGAGGGGGGCTCCTGGGATCAAGGAGTGGAGGGGAGCCGCCTGTGGACCTTAAAAGGAGGGGCAAGGCAGGCCCTGCTCTTTCTTCCACCTGCGGCTCCCACTTTCACCTGGTCTCTGCTCAGTGGAAACACTCTGGAGCAGGCCAGAAAGCCCCCGTGCAAGCCAGTCGGTGTTTTCCTTTCTCTCCTCTCTCAGCTCTTCCCCCTTTGCGCATTCCCCAGGCAAGTAAATCTTTTTAAATCCCGTTTTCCCTCTGGGTGTGTATCTGCTCTGGGGTCTTGCCTTGCAGTCTTAAACCTCCTGGTCTCCCACAGGTTTGCCCCTTCACAGGAGGGGTCTCCCACAGGTTTGCCTCTTCACAGGAGGGGTCCCCTGAAAACTGACAGACAAACAAGGGGTGTGAGGAAACCGGACTGGGGAGCAGAGTAAACGGCAAGAGCAAGGAGAGTTCTGCGAGAGGGTAGATGCAGTTAAACAGAAGCACTGGACAGGAGGCCTCTGGGAGACCTTTCTGGATGGAGGCCAAGGAAGACCCAGGGCCCTCGATGAGCAGACAGGGAAGAGAATTCCAAGTGATGGCGAGAGCGAGCGCCCCGAGGACGGGGTTGTATTCCAGGATCACGGGTTGGGTGGGGGGGGTGTCTGGAGCAGAGTAAATCCTCCCTTAACGTCCTAGCAGGTGCTTGGAAGCTGCGACTTTAAGCAGAACTCCTTAGAGTGAGTCCAGGGCCTCAGATAAGGTAGTTGAAGGAAAAGCTTATTTGAAGACCTGCCGCATAGCAACTAAGAAAAAGCGAGAGGAGTGAGAGTCGCTGCAGAGGAGGCAGGACTGGCCCAGTTGGCGGGTCCGACCCTCCGTGCAGCTTCGAGCCGGGGAGGCTGCCGGAGTCAGTTCAGTCACCTGAACAGTCGGGGGGGGGGGTTGGGGGCTGCCAGCTCCCCGCCTACCAGACCCGGTGTAAAGCATCTTACCTGTCACATCAACAGACACTCACAGCCGCTCCATGGAGTAGACGTCATTAAAATTCCCCTATGACACAAAGAAAATTAAGCTGCTAAAGCAGAGAAACTTGCTGCCATTGGTGGGTTTTTTTAATAACCACGTTTTTATGATTATACAGCTTAAATAGATCATAACTTCGTGTGGTTTTTACTTTAAATTCAAATTATCTTAATTCTTTTTCATGTAAAGGGTTTTGACAGGTTTCAAAATTTTTCCCTCAAATGTTGTTAATGTGTAGCCTGGGAGGGTACATGGTCGCCCCCATATGGACACAGGCCTCACTCAACCCCCCCCGGGGCTTCCCCCTCCCCCCTCCCTGCCCCACCTGTTATTTCTCAGAGTAAGAATTACCTTGGCAGGGCTTTGCCAGCCTGTGTTCCTCGGGTATTCACAAGCCACAAATAAGCACTTGCCTTTCGCGTTCTGACTGGGCCTCCTGCCCTCCAGACCCGCCCCTGTGCCCCAAAAGGTGCTGTTTCACCTTCTGGAATAGCTGCGGGTGTTCCACGGAAGGGAACTCTGGGCACCCTCTGCCTGGGCACCCGCTGCTGTGCCCTCGGGAGACGCGTCTTTCCCATCAGTGTCTCACGGGCTCCGGGTAAACAGCCAGAGCGGAGAGGCTGGCTCATAGAGCCTTCTTGCTTTTTTCAGTATCTCCCTAGCAGACAGCTTTTTAAAAGGACAAAAAGGACGACAAAACGTTGGGGAGGAATTGGAGCAACAGGAATGTTCGGGTATTGTCGGGGGCCGGCTCGGGCACATCGGAAGAAAGTTGGGCAACTTCTGAAACTAAACATACATGCCGTTACCACACCGTCCAGCAGCCGTCCTCCCTGGTATTTACCCCAAAGCGCTGGGCAAACAGGAAGGTCTGCAGGGGGTATTTACAGCGGCTCTAACTGCCGGACTCGGGCGCAACCCAGGTGTCCAAGTGTGGGGTGAGGAGGGGCTCACGCAGGCGATGGCGCATCACCCCGCACTGGGAGGAGGTGAAGAGCATGTCAGTGCCTGGGTGGTCTGCGTGGCGTCTTTGGAGAAATGTAGATGTCCGGCCCAATCTTTTTTTTTTTTTTTTTAAAGATTTATTTATTTGTGCATATAGAACTGGGGTACAGGCCAGAGGCTCAGGGGTGGCGAGAGACAGAGTGGGGAGCAGAACAGGCAGATCGACGAAGTACACTGCTGAGGGGAGCAGCGGGTGGGTCAGGAGAGGTCTGCCGCGCCCTGTGGTCACCTCCGGGGCAGGTGGGGATCGAACTCATGCAGAAGTGGCTTTAGCTTCTCAGTGCTGTACTTTAACCCGCTGCGCCACCAGGGAGGGCCCGTCCGGCCCAATCTTTAACCAGGTGGTTTTCTTTCTTGTCCTTGAGCTGTGTTAATAGTATCTTTCGGAGCCTGACCCTGAAGAGCTGTGGCTTGTAACTACCTTCTCTCCTGCAGAAACTTAGTTTAATGTCACCTGGAAGAGACTGTAGGGATCGGTACAATTTCTTAAATATTTGATAGAATTCACTGGTAAAGCCATCTGAGTCTGGCGGCTTCTGTTAGGGAAGATTATTCAAATTCTCTTAATTACTGGCCCTATTTGGATTATTTATATACTCTTAAAGTTTTTTTTTTCCTCTGAGAAAAAAAGGAAAAGTCACCGTGCTGGAGGTCACTTCACCCTGCCGCAGCCACCACCACAGGCTCGCGTGTGTCCAGGTGGTTTGCCATGCAAATGCGTGAGCTGCACGGCTGCCCGCTGCTGTGTGTGACGTGATGCCCAGATCACAGACTTCTACACGTCAGTCATCAATTTTAAGAACACTGTCTACACGTCCATCTGGAATGCGGTATGAAAAAACTGGCTGATTGGGATACACAAAATGGAGTATACTATTAGAATACTAACAGGTAGGAAAGGAGAAGTTAAGAGTGGACATATCTGGGAGAACGCACCCCGACACCCTGCTAATTCACTTGTCTGTGTTAGGTATTTTAGAAGCAACATGCCGTGTCGCGTACAGGGGATGCTGAGGAAGCCCCAGTGATTTTTTTATGTTGCTTTCTCCTCTGATATTCTGTCTTTCTAATAGCGCTACTGTTGGGGGTATTCCAAAATTCTTCAGGCAAACACACAAATCAGCATCGGCAGATTAGTAAAAGAAAAAGACCAAATGTATTAACAGACACTTGGAGAATGAACACGGCTGGGCCTTCTAAAGCACACGTGGTGGTGGGGTGGGGGGTGGTTTATCTCCTGCATTAAGGGACCAGGGCATGAGGGAGAGAAGAGGGGCTCATAGCACCAGGAGGGATCACTTCAGGGCAACACCCTGCCTCTGGCTGTTTGCCCTGCCCCACAGATTTCTCCTGCAAAAAGCTTGTTCTGGAGAAGACCCGGCCCCAGGTCACCTGCATCTCCAAGTAACGCAGCAGCTTCTCCCGGGCTCACAGGCCTCCACTGTCCCTCGTCCTTAGGTAAGGCAGGCCAGCTGGGATGCCTGAGTGTCCCTCCAGAGACAAGTTCAAAGCCCTCAGCCACCGGAGGCCATGCACACGGTCTCGCGGGTCTCCCTCAAAGCCCAGCTTGCCGGGCACCCGGCCTGAGGTGTCCCTAGAACTCCGCTTTATGGGGCCCCTCCCAGAATCTCTGCTCTACCTGTCTTCTTTTTTTCTTTCTTAGAATTTACTTTTGCATTGAAGAGCTAGAGTAAGCCAGAGGTGCAGGGGTGAGAGGATTCGCCAGAGTGAGGAGCAGAACAGGCGGGTCTACTGAAACACACTGCTGAGGGGAGCAGGCAGAAGAGGTCTGTCCCTGGCCGGGGTCGAACTCAGGCCGTAGTAGTGACAGCCTGCGACTTAACCCCTGCGCCCCCAGGGAGGCCCACCCCTGTCTGCTAAATCCCTGTCCACTCCGTGTGCCCCTTCCAGGTTTGGGCAGTGGGTGTCCACTCCCACTATCGCCAGTTACAGAAACTCAATCTCGGGTTTCCTGTCCCTCGCTGGCGAACACACTCATAAGGTCACTTTTAGGGTTGAGTGAAATCACCTGGATCCAGTGCCATGAGCCAGCGGCCATCCGGAAGCGCCATCCTCCTCCCGGTCTCTCCTGGCCACCAGTGTCCACCCTCTGACGGAACCCTTGTTCTTCACGAGACAGGCAGATGGCGAAAGGAGCAGTGGGCCTTGACTGCGCCCAGTCAATCACAGAATGTCACAGAACCCTGCAAGTCTTTCGCCCACCCTGCTCTGGGGGTTGCTATGAAATAGAAATGAAGTCACAGGTGCCAAGTTACTTTCTGTTCAAGATAAAGCTCCCCAACACTACCCTCAGACGAAAAGGAGCCTATACACAAAATAAGCCCACAGTATAACCCAAGACCTTTCAATCAACACTTTCAGCTGGGTTATTTTTAAATAAGGAAGTTAGTTGCAAAATACGCATCTCTTACACGAGATTGAGCGGGAAGGAAGACGGACGCCCTCCTCCAGCTCACACACGGCCGGCATGGGCCCCGCCTGCTTCGACCTCGAGCTCTGGCACCCCTGCGGGGTCGAGAGGGGCAGGGGAGGTGGGTCCAGAGAAGGGGAGCCGCCCATGCACTGGGGGGGCCCCACCTCCCCAGCGAGCAAGACTGGGCTGCCCGCTCTGTGCTGCTGGGCCCCGATGCCCGCCCGATGCTGCTGTTGGCCAGATGGCAGGTGGGAGAGGACGCTGCCCACCAAATCCTGGAAGCCCCGGCCCCCCAGGGTGCTGCTGGACTGGCATCGCTCCAGGGAGCTGACGCCAGGTGCCGGCCAATGCGTCCTTACCGTGGACGCAGGAGCATGCGAGCTGGGCTCTGTGAGAGTGCCTGAAAGATATTCCAGAAGGTTGGCCACAGCGTCTTTTCCTTGGAACTGATGTATGGACATGGCAGGGAGACTCAATAGGCCCTTGAGTGACCTGAAAGGCTCTCTACATCGAAAGGACGCAAGGCGGGGCCAGCAAAGTGCATGTGAAGCATCAGGGCTCTCAGGCGCGGACGCCTCTGGGTGGCATTTCAATGCCAGCTGCCCCAGAAATCCCTCCTCAGTCTACCCGAGTTAACAAGACCACAGGAATATCTCTGCTTCTGGACGCGAGTTCAAAACCACAGGCCTGTCTGGCCACGTGGATGCTCGGCTCGCCGCCTAGGAGACAGAGGGCAGATCTGAACCTCAAGGGGAAGGTTTCCGGCCTCAGCCGTCGAAGCGAAGGAGAGTCTGTCCTCTCCTCAGGGTGTCCTCTCAGGGTGCAGAGAGGCACCCTGAGCTGGGTGTCCAGGAAGCCGGACAGTTCAGAGAATGGCACACAGGCCCGCGGAGCCCTCCATCTCTTTATGCAATGGGCACCAGAGCCCGGGGCAGGCTGGTCTCCTGCAGACCCAGGAAGCAGGCAAGAGGAGCTTCCCCAAGCACTGGGAACCAGGCTGCTCTCAGAAAGCCAAACCAGCAAAATCGGCAGGGTATGGTGGGAACAAACCAGATCACCAGTGAGTCTGCACCTGCAGAGTGGAGACACCCCGTGCTCCCACCAGAGTGCTTCGATGGAAGACCAGGAAGGTGGACACATGATGGTGACTTCAAAAGAGCTCAGGATGGCTGAGAGGAGGCCAGGTAGAGGCACCTGTTGACCAGACGAGAGCAAAACAAAGCCCCAAGCCGCAGAAGCTGGCGGGGCTGGTGGGCGCCGGCCTCCTGCAGGGCACTGTGTCCGAGGGTCTCTCCTGCGGCCCACGCCAGTTAGTTTCACGCTCTCTAACTCCAGCCACCTAAATCACCACCTGCTGACCTCATCTCCTCTAGCACGTTTACCTACAAAGAGCCTGCCCTTGCGTGACCACGTCGTCCTCAGGTCAATGTGTCAGGCTCTGGAGCCCAGTTAATGTGGGTCCCCCCAGGAAGCCGGACAGGATGTCGGGGCTGTGACCGGCCATTGGCACTCCAGGCACCAGAGTCAGGCGCACGCACCTGAGGTCCCCTGTAAGACACAGCATCTTTGCACCCCTTTACAAGCAATGAAATAAA